CATAGTCTTGTGCTTAAAGAAACAATTAAGGAGTTGTTATATAAAAGATACATAGGAGGGCTGTGTGTGTGGTGTGGGGAGTACCAGTTCTGTCTAGACAGATGTACAGTAAGGAAAGGAAAGATTAGATCATGTGTTCTCAACTGCTGATTTTTTTTTTCTTTTTTTGAGACGGAGTCTCACTCTGTTGCCCAGGGTGGAGTATAGTGGCACGATCTTGGCTCACTGTAAGCTCCACCTCCCAGGTTCGTGCCATTCTCCTGCCTCAGCCTCCCGAGTAGCTGGGACTACAGGTGCCTGCCACCATGCCCGGCTAGTTTTTTGTATTTCTTAGTAGAGACGGGGTTTCACTGTGTTAGCCAGGATGGTCTCGATCTCCTGACCTCGTGAGCCACCCGTCTCGGCCTCCCAAAGTGCTAGGATTACAGGCTTGAGCCACCGCGCCCGGCCAACTGCTGGCTTTTATAACTCCTAAAAGAACATATTTTCAAGCACCTTATATTTTATATTTTAATATATATATAATTGATCATATAAATTATTAATATTTTTATATCTTATATTTTAACACGATTGCTAGATAATTATATAGTGTGAAAAGTTAACTGTATTTTTTCATTCTCTTATTAAAGCATATTTTACTAAAAGGAGAAAATAATACAGGATCAAATCTTTTAGTAGTTAGAATGTGTTTTACCTAAAAGTCATATTAATGGTTTTTAAGTACTTTTTTTCCTTGAATTTATAGGCATTTTCCTTATGTTGATAGAGGAACTGATGGTTAGGGGAAGTGTCTAAACTTAAATCTAACTTATTTAGAGAAAAATTGTACATTGATATCAATATGTACTAGTCATTTTCTGTTTATTTTATTTTCGAGGCAGAGTCATCCTCTGTCACCCAGGCTGGAGTGCAGTGGTGCGAGCTTGGCTCACTGCAACGTCTCCCTCCTGGGTTCAAGTGATTCTCATGCCTCAGCTTCCTGAGTAGCTGGGACTACAGGGCCGCACCACCACGAATTTTTGTATTTTTAGTAGAGATGGGGTTTCACCATATTGGTCAGGCTGGTCTTGAACTCCTGACCTTGTGATTCGCCTACCTCAGCCTCCCAAAGTGCTGGGATTACAGGTGTGAGCCACCGCACCAGGCCTATTTTATTTATTTTATTTTATATTTTATTTTATTTTATTTATTTTATTTTTTATTTTATTTTATTTTTGAGACAGAGTCTCGCCCAGGCTGGAGTCCTGTGGCCCCATCTTGGCTCACTGCAACCTCCACCTCCCAGGTTCAAGTGATTCTTATGCCTCAGCCACCAAGTGTAGCTAGGACTACAGGCGTGCACCATCATACCTGGATAATTTTTGTATTTTTAGTAGAGACGGAGTTTCACCATGTTAGCCAGGATGGTCTCGATCTCCTGACCTTGTGATCTGCCCGTCTCGGCCTCCCAAAGTGCTGGGATTACAGACTTGAGCCACCGCGCCCGGCCAAGTTTTTTCTTTACTTTTAAAGAAATCAACCAGAAATGGTAGAGACCGTGTTGGTTTATGTAAAGAACTCCTTTCATGAATACAGGGCTTCATCTCACAGCAAAAAATTAGTGAATTTGAGTGTTTTAACATGTTTAAGGTACATAGTTATATAGATATGTATATAGATATATACTTTTTTTTTGTGATTGTTTGAATTACCAATTTGATTAGTGGACGGGTCCTGAGTTATTTGATTCACTAAATTCTTGTTTTTTGGTGAATACACCTATCACAGACCTACTTTTTTGAATTCTAACTTGAAAGTCAGTAGTGGTACTGAAGCCCTTTTTCAAACTTTAACATGGATTTTGTAGTAAAATTGAATAAGACAGCAATTTCATAATACCACTTGTAGCTTCCAGCAACTATCATGACATTTTGTATTCAAACTGTTTCTTTAAAGAAGACTTTATAGTTACTTAGGGTTTGGGACTCTATTGTGCTCCTTTCCAGCCTTATTCATTGTGCCTGTCCATCTCTCTCTCTATCTTAGAGTAGCTTCTTTTTAAATTTCTTCTTCCAAGGAATCAGCTGATGCTTCTAAGGCAGAGTCTGGAGCCAGTATTATGGTTTCATATCGAAGTGTCAAAGTACTTCATTTTGTAGTGAATGTTAGACGAAAATGTGGAACACATCAACAATTGGAATATTAAAAAGAGGATATTTCCTACTTAGATTTATTTTACTTATTAGGGAACTGAAAATACCCTTTTAAGAATGAGTGGCAACAAGATTGGCCTGTGCTCAAATTTTAGGAGGCACAGTGCCCAGAGAGGGCTCCAGAGCTCTTTTGCTGGCTGCCTCCTCTGGAGCAGCTGACTGGCCAGCTGCAGAGCACATTGATCTGGTCATGATTGCTTTCATCCTGGAGTAGAGCAAGTTCACACAATTTAAATCAAGAGCCACATTAGAAGCTCCTGACCTCAGGATAACCTCTCATTTCCTACCTTTGAAAGAGGGAACAAGAGGGAACAGTTCAGTCACTTCCTAACATCTAGACACAAAAATGCATGGGAAGATACAGCCACATCTAAAGATTGTGATCTCCTGATTTTCTTTATAACTTAGGTAGATTCAGAATACCATCTTCCAGTTTTCCCTCGGAATAAAAGGAACAGTAGTCCTAATCTACGGTTCTGTGTTGAATAGAGAAATAATTCCTTCCCTTCCACACGCTCATTTTTTTTCCTATTGAACTTTTCCTAGGCCATTCATATAGATGCAGCCTAGATGAAATAGACTTGGACTGTTTGTAAACTCACCCTTTTCCTAAAATATCATACTGGAGTGTGACATTTCTTACCTGTGTTAGATAGCAGACCAGTGTTTCTTGACGTATACATTTTTAAATGCATGCTTTCTTTTGGTAAATTTAGGCCTCCTGTTATTCTGAGTATCCCTACCAGTCACTATAAGGGATTTTTTTTTTTTTTTTTTTTAAGTAAAGATGAGGACTTGCTGTGTTGTCCAGGCTGGTCTCGAAATCGGGGCTCAAGCGATCCTCCTGCCTTGGCCTCCCAAAGTGCTGGGATTATAGCAATGAGCCACTGTGCCCAGCTCATTATAAAGGTTTTATTGAAGTTTATTTTCTAGAGATTTCAACTTTGCTTCTGCTGTGACTCACATGCCAGGATAGGTAATTACACATATGGAACACTAAGTTACTGGATTGATAAGAGGGACTGAGAATTGTGAGTAGTTTCTCACCTCTTAAGTTGTAATTGTACTCTTTTCTCCCATTCATTACCGAGAATAATATTAAATAATAGTTCTGAATCTGCTCTAGTTCATTAAGAATAATTCACATTTTCTTATTTCACCTGTTAGTAACAAATTCTAATGCTCAGAATGTGAGCACTAAGTAGTAATTGAAGAAATTAACCACAGACTTGAGAACTATTTTACTATAAGTTTTTTTTTTTTTTTGAGATGGGGTCTCGTTCTGTCGCCCAGGCTGGAGTGCAGTGGTGCAATCTCGGCTCACTGCAACCTCTGCCTCCCGGGTTCAAGAGATTCTCCTGCCTCAGCCTCCGGAGTAGCTGGGACTACAGGCACACGCCACCACACCCAGCTAATTTTTTTGTATTTTTAGTAGAGACGAGGTTTTACCATATTGGCCAGGCTGGTCTTGAACTCCTCACCTCATGATCCTGGGGTTACAGACATGAGCCATCACACACAGCTATAAGATTTCTTAATAACAAAGGAACTACTACTTTGCTAGAAGTCTCTGTGCTTGACTTGGAGGACATACTGAGTTACAGCGAAAAAAGAGCAAAGGTGTTTAATTAGAAATGTCATGAAATGAGGAAAGAAAAGGAAATAAGGTTAAAATATGCGTAGGTGTTTTATAACTATTAAAATTCTGTTGACTTATGTAGTTAGTCAATATCTTTCTACTCAGAAAAAAGAGAAAAAGATCCAGATATTTAACAGAAGTTGCATATGTTTGTGTACCTTCCTGATAATTGATGGTATTGAGCTATCTGTAATCTTGGTTAAATCCTTGTAAGACCACTGATAACATATTAATATTTACTACCTCCGATTGTCCAGAGTTATGGGTATATTATATCCCTAGTTGAAAATCTGACTGATTTATTAAAAAGGATCACACTGTGGGTGTTAGCCTTAGTCAAACAATTTAAACAAGCATGGGGTACTACAAACTGATTTTTTAAAAAATGTGGGACAGTGCTGCTTAAGCCACTTATAATTTCACTTGTTTTTCAGAGATGATTTTTACTTGATGTCTGTTTGTCCCAGATACTGCGATACACTAGACATAGTAATATATGAGATATATGATAGTGGCTGTGATTTATTACACCTAGAACTAAGGGAGGTTTTCAGATGGATATTTTACTTTCCCTTATGTGAGGGACTGGGTCATACTGCTTATAAAAGAAATGACTAAAATGGCCTGCTGTGTAGGAAGGGTAACATCTGTGTTCATACAATAAATGGATGTGGCCTAGTTCTCTGGTGGAATGTCTGACACTTGCCAGTACTGTTCTTAAAAAGAGTTGCTTAATAATTTAAAATAATTTGATTTCATTTAAAAATACACTGGTCAGTCTAGGAAAGGTGGATAACAATGGAAGGTATTTGCTAGAGGCTTTTTGGCCTTCCCTGTGTCTGAAATCTCTTCTCAGAAGTGTTGAAATGTAACCAGGAGTGGAAAAATTTTCCTTACTAATTGTGGAATTGAGTCTGGAATTTGTCTTTTTGATTCTGCCAAAGGAGAGATATTCACAGGCCTACCAAAGGAGGAAGGAGGAATACTTATAGGTCTCCTGTAGAAGTACTATTGAAAGTATTATCTGCTTTATATAAACCTAGTTTTTAAAAATAAAAACTTATTTTTTTAATTGATACAGGGTCTTGCTATGCTGTCCAGCTGTTCTTGAACTCCTAGGCTCTAACAGTCCTCCCACCTCAGCCTCCCAAGTAGCTGGGATGATAGGTGCATGGCACCATGCCCAGTTTCTATAAACCTAGTTTAAAAATACATAAGAGAAATATCAGATAAGTTGATCTCATTAGGAAATAATTTGTCAAACACATTTTGGTAGCATAGTAAGTGTGATTTGTTAACTTTCATATAATTTGATACTGCTAAAATTGCTTTTAGGTATAGGTTTTCTTTTGAAGAAGATTATCAAGGGTTCTGACTGTTCAGAAATATTGCTTAATTTCACAAAAATTGAAAGGAAAGGCAGTTTGTGTTTCATTCATAATCTACACATAAACTAACTTATTTGTGTGAGGTTAGTGAAGGAACACACAGGATTTGCATTTTGTCTTATCAGGGTTTACTAAATAGTGATTCTTGGGTGAGTCTTAAGTTTTGAGCTTTTGTTTTCTCCTTTATATAACAGGAATGGTAAATTATCTTTTTTACTTAATAGAATTGTTTTAAGAGTCAAATAAGATTATGGATGTAAAGACACTGTAAACTCCATAAAGCTAGGTATATAGTGATGTTATTCATGTTATTTTAACAGTAAATTGATGAATGAATTATCTACTTTGTGGAATAATTATTTTAATGATTGGCATAGGGAAGATAATGTACCATTATCAAATATCTCATCTTTGAGAAAAAAGCAATTTTATTTTTATTTAACATTGATATATATTTAAGGACAGTTTTAAACTCTTTAATTTTTATGGATAAATGTACAGCAAATATTAATAAAATGTATAGACATTCAGCAATTAATAGATTGGCAAACCTATTTGTGATATATATAAATAGACAAAAGTTTGGTGTCTGAAAATTTCCTCATAACCAAGTAATACTTTTGCCCAGTTCTGCACCTTTTTTATATACCTTGATCCTGTCTCATATTTGTGAGGATTTCCTGAGTCCTTGAATATGCTTTATTGCTTTTCCATGGTGCTTGATGAAACTAAAGGTAGGACCAAATTCCCAGCCCAGTAATTTTGTTTTCAAGGAAATTGTTGAAGTTCATTTGTGAAACATAAAGAAAAATATTTTCTGTTTTTAGGGACTCAAGTAAAGAGCAAACCTATGGAAGTGATATCCTGTAGTGTGTACCATCTTGATGGTACTCACCTGAGAGTGGTTGTTGTAAGGAGTAGATATTTAAAGCACAGAGGAGAAAACTATGGGAAAAGAACAGAGCAGCCAAAAACCAAACAACACAGCCAAATGATTTAACGTAAGTGTGATTGGAGTTCTCAATGAAATGGATACGTGAAAAGATGATTGGCGACATTAGTCACCAGGAACATACAAATTAGAATTACAGTGATATATGTTCATCAGAGTGGCTAAAATTTAAAAGGTAATACTTGTGTTTATGAAGATTTGGATCGCTAGGGCGCATTGCTGGTGGGAATACAAAATGGTGTGGCCGTTTTGGAAAACCAGGAATTCTTTAGAAAGTTAAACATGTATCTGCCATGTGACCCAGCAGTTTTACTCAGGTATTTACCCAACAGAAAGGAAGACATTTGTCCATAAAATGATTATACAACAATGTTCATAGCAAATTTAATTGCAGTATTGACAAACTGAAAACAATGTTCATTAACAAGCAAATGAGAATATGTCATATCCATATAGTAGAATACTCTTAAGCAATAAAAAGAAACAAACCACTGATACACAGAACAACATGGATTAATCTCAGAATTCTTATACCAAGTAAAGAAGTTACATGTGTAAGAGTACATATCCTTATGTGATCGATTTATGTGAAATTCTAAGGAGGATCATGCTGTAAGGGACTGAAAGGAGGTTGCTAATGGGACTACTTGGTTACCTTCTCGCACTGTGAACCTCTAGCATTTTGAGATGTGTAAAGTTCAAAAAACAGTATTTATTTATTTGTTTGTTTTGAGATGGAGTCTTGTTCTGTCGCCCATTCTGGAGTGCAGTGGCATATCTCGGCTCACCGCAACCTCTACCTTCCGGGTTCAAGCAATTCTCCTGCCTCAGCCTCCGAGTAGCTGGGACTACAGGCGCGTGCCACCATACCCTGCTAATTTTTTGTATTTTTTTAGTAGAGACAGGGTTTCACCGTGTTAGCCAGGATGGCCTCCATCTCTTGACCTCGTGATCTGCCTGCCTCAACCTCCCAAAGTGCTGAGATTACAGGCGTGAGCCACGATGCCTGGCTCAATGATATTTATTTTTTACAGTCACAGTCTCTTGAAAAAGTAGCACTTCATGAAATACTAGAGTGCTGTGGAAGCCCTGTACAGGGGGCTCTATTTTTTTTTTTTTTTTTTGAGGTGAAGTCTTACTCTGTTGCCCAGGCTGGAGTGCAGTGGCGCCATCTCAGCTCACTGCAGCCTTCGCCTCCTGGGTTGAAGCAATTCTCCTGCCTCAGCCTCCCAAGTAGCTGGGATTACAGGCGCCCAACACCACGCTCAGCTGATTTTTGTACTTTTAGTAGAGACGGGGTTTCACCATGTTGGTCAGGCTGGTCTTGAACTCCTGACCTCAGGTGACCCTCCTGCCTCGGCCTCCCAAAGTGCTGGCATGAGCCACCGTGCCTGGCCAGGGGGTCCTACTTTTAAAATGCTAATTGATGACCTGTTTTCTTCTTTTTGTAACTGGAGGTGATATGAACTTTGATTAGAGATATAGAGTGTATATCTATGAATCATTTCTGTAATTATGTTTGTCCCTTCAAGTATTTTTTTTTTTTTTTTTAAGATGAAAGAGCTCATGAATTCTTGATAAATGTGTGAGGTCTTTCTTCTTTCATCACTGTACCTTAGATGCTGAGAAGACACATCTAGAACATCTGATTTATGGTATGGAAATCATTTTAGTCAGTGTCGAACCCTCTATCCCCCTAACTCCACCAGCAGAATGATAGGTGAAATACATTCCTCCAAGATCATGTTTATGTTTATGTTTGGTATCCTCTCGTTAACATCATCATTACTGTGGGCTACGTTTGGACTGCTTGCTTTCCAAAATAAAAAAATTGTATGTGATTAGAGCCAAGGGCCAGAGATACATCCCTAGAGCTAAGAATTGCTTTACATTTTTGAAGGTTGCTTAAAAATATTTAACAGAGACTGTATATAGCCCACAAAGCCCAAAATATTTACTGTTGGGTCATTTACAGACAAAGTTTTCTGACAACTAAACTTAGAGAATCCTCCAATAGTTTTTTTCAAAACCAAGATTTTATAAAAATCAAAGTGGAGGCTGGGCATGGTGGCTCATACCTGTAATCCTAGCTTTTTGGGAGGCTGAGGCGGGCATATCAGTTGAGGCCAGGAGTTTGAGACCAGGCTGGCCAATGTGGTAAAACCCCCTCTCTACTGAAAATAGAAAAATTAGCCAGGCATGGTGGTGTGTGCCTGTAATCCCAGCTACTCGGGAGGCTGAGGCAGGAGAATTGCTTGAAGCCGGGAGGCAGAGGTTGCAGTGAGCTGAGATGGGACCACTGCACTCCAGCCTGAGCGACAGTGAGACTCTGTCTCAAAAAAGAAAAAAAAAAAAAATCAAAGTGTGCTGTAAATATCTTATGTTAAATTAGTTGCTTTATTGATTTGAGGAGGCAGAGTTTACAATAAAATAATTGAGCCTTTGTTGGTCAGGTGCGGTGGCTCACACCTGTAATCCCAACACTTTGGGAGGCTGAGGCAGGCACATGAGGCTGTGGTCAGGAGTTTGAGACCAGCCTGGCTAACATGGTGAAACCCCGTCTCTACTAAAAATACAAAAATTAGCCAGGCGTGTTGGCGGGCACCTGTAATCCCAGCTACTTGGAAGGCTGAGGCAGGAGAATCACTTGAACCTAGGAGGCAGAGACTGCAGTGAGCCAGGACTGCGCCACTGCGCTCCAGCCTGGGCGACAGAGTGAAACTCTATTTCAAAAAAAAAAAAAAATACTGACACAATTTATGTTCTACAAAGCTCACACCCTTAGTGTGTATAATTTAATGTTTTTAATATATTTATAGTTGTGTAGCCATCACTGTAATCTAATTTTAGAACATTTTCATCACCCCTAATAAAAGCTGTGTACCAGTTTCTCTCCATCTTTCTTCCATTCCCCTATCCCTCTGATCCTATAAATAATAAATGAGGCCGGGTACGGGGTGACTCATGGCGTAATCCCCAGTACTTTGGGAGGCCGAGGCGGGTGGATCACCTGAGCTCAGGAGTTTGAGACCAGCCTGGCCAACGTGATGAAGCCCTGTCTCTACAAAAATAAAATTACAAAAAAAAAATAGCTGGGTATGGTGGCAGGTGCCTGTAATCCCAGCTACTCGGGAGGCTGAAGCAGAATCGCTTGAACCCGGTAGGCAGAGTTTGCAGTGATCCGAGATTGTGCCATTGCACTCCAACCTGGGAGCCTCCAGAGGAAGACTGTCTGAAAATAATAATAATAATAAATGAAGTTACTTAGTCCACTAGTTTGAAATTAACAGAAGTGGACCACCATTTTGCTGTCTCTGGAAAAAGGGGTTTGTTGAGTAAATAGTAAGGTAAACAAAGCTACCAGAAAAAAACAGAAGTTTGAAAAACCAAAATATTTGTATGCACTCTAAAAATCAATGTAACTGCAATTGGCAACAAAATGTAATGAAAACATATCCTGAGATAATATCCCTTGGCAATGCATTAGGTTATTAATATAGGAGAGTTCTTTAAGTTTTAAAAGTCCATGAAAGGACACATGAAGTCATAGTTTAATTTCCATCATTTTTTCTTTCGTTTATTCAGTAATGCTGTATTCTGTAGATTTGGTGAAATGTGGCATGTTTGATTCAAGATAAATATTAATAAAAAGTTAACTATTACAGAAAGACTCAGAACATCTCAGGCAATAAAAATATCAAAATAAATTACTAGAAGAATATTTGGTCTAAAGAAAAAACCTACTTATATTTGAAAGTAATGAAATGGCATTCTTCTAAAATTTTAGCAATTTAGTCCTTTCACTAATCCACATTAATCTTCTCTTCTGATGATTTTTGAATGAGAATTTCAGGTTTTCACATAAACGCCAAATTTGGGCCTTAAACATTTTTCCATCTTGGTATGCGTGGGTGTGGGGAAAATTTTTTTTCTCCCAATTCTTAAGGTTTTGATTCTCTTTTGTAAGATCTGTATATTGCCTTTATTATAGAAGACAGAAGGGTCATTTTTTTCAAAGTTTGGTGTATTAAAATAGATACCCTTATTTTGGTATTGATTATTTAATTTCCTCTTAAGTCATGAGAAAACTCAAACATCCTAGTTTAACTAGATTTTGTAACTGTAAATATTCGCAAAATATTACCTTAAATATTTTAAATGGAGAAAAAAAATCATAGAGGTATTAAGCTATTTTCCTTCAGCTTCAAACTTACCCATTGAAACTGCTTTGTGAGGTTGGAGCTGGGATCCTACAGACTATATTTCTCTTTTGTAACTAGTTTCCTGTTACATTTTGCCAATAGATGGTACCAATGGGAGATAGGAAAGTAAAAGAGGAGGGACAAGGGACTTTTCTCCTTTTTGTTTACTTCCTCTTCCTGTTCATGTCTTCACAGCAAAAAAGCTCCACCCTGGTAGGAACAGGAGTGGCAAATGGTTCCAGTTTGCAATTTTTCCACACTCATAAAACCATCTTCATCACATCCCCTCATAGATGCTAGCATCAACTAGCCATTTCCTCCCTCTCAAAAATCTGGGTTCCAGCTTTGCAGGGTTCCCCCTCCAAGCTCTTGACATGTAGTTTTCTTTTCAGAGGTCTGGATCCCAGTTTCATAGGGTTTCTTCTTCAAGCCTCTGAGTTTTCGTAATTCCTACAACTTCTCTTTGTTCCTGTCAGCTCTGGTACTGATAGTTGCTTTTTGCATTACTATGTCTATGGTATTTGTCCTCCTTTTTGCCTCTTCAGTTCTCCAGTTTTCCTAGTTAGCAACTTTTATTAAATTTTCTGTTAAAATTACAGGTGTAGTTTCTGTCTCTTGACTGAACCCTGCGTAATATACTGGTCTAAATACGAGGCCTTTGCCAACCAAAGTCCCAGAGATCACATTAATAGCTACTGAGCCTCTGCAATGTGCTGGCCTTTCCCTGTTCTCGGTATCCCGTTGGATGTCTTCTGTGGTCCCAGAGCTGCCTGGGTATACGTCATTATCACACTGCATTGCTGTTGTCTGCTTTTCTGTAGTGTTTCTCATCTTGAGGCCAGTGCTG